AGATAGTGAGTAATTGAACTGCAGTCAGAGAGCACGAGAGACGTTACAGCGTTTGTTTAGCGCGATTGTTGAAGTTGAGTGTATCGATAAAGTTATATTTGGAAAGAATAAACCAGTTTTTATTAAGAAAGAACTTGTGTCGCTTAAGTTTCGTCGGAACGAAGTTACGGAAAAGTCAATTAACAAACGGAGACGTAACAATATCGTGAGAGTTTGATATTAAAAATACATGAAATTTCTTCCAGTTGTTTTTTTAGAAAATCTCAATATATTTTGATCCAGATCCAGCAAGTCTAATTCTCATTAATAAAAGCAATAAAAAATTTTCTCAAAACAAATATATTTGTTACTCGTTGTACTACAGCAGTAATATCACAGCTGACTTTAAACATAAAAAATGAAATAGAATTAGTGATTCCTTCTGTTGAAATATCGAACACCTCTAGACGCCAATAAGCTTCCATCATGTTTCTTCAGTAAAACCCTTTAACTTCAGTATGATACTCGACGAATGTTGAGATACGGTAAATTAGGCGTAACTGTTTATTTGCCCAATCTTATTAGAAAAACAAGTTCAGTCGGAGTACAAATTAAAGTATACATATGATGTCAATAATGGCACATGATATATTTATGGGACTTTACAGTCTTAAATGTTTTCAACCAAACACTATTGTTAGGATGATCATTAATCCATTTGCTGTGGGTTGAGAAGCAGCCTCTATCAGTCAAGTTTTATTTATTATGATTTCCTGTGCAAATTTCACAGCAAGGAAACAGTTAACAACTCAAACATGTCTCGAAGAAGGTGAAAAACTACTCAGAAAAAAAAGACTTGTTGACAAATCTAAATTGTATGTCTAGCGCATTTGATCTCAGAGAATAAGGTAAATCTTTTAAGTTCTCACTTTGGAGAAAAAACGGTAAATCAATAAACCACAAGAACCAAGTAAAAGTTAACACTTATCTATCGTCCGTTAAGAAGTAAATTTAGCGCCCTCTTCTTTCCCTCTAAAAGCGGTGGAAAAATATTTTTATAGTTTATAATAAAATATGTATATTAGTTTCTGATATCATTCGTAGAGGACGAAAGTTTCACGTAAATGTTTTTGTAAATAATCTTTTCACAGCAGAAGATAGTACAGACTATTTTAAAGTGGCTTCAATAACAAACAAAGACATACGCCTTCAACTTGATAAAACCTGAAAATATAAACAAATGTGTAAAATCCATCTTAAAATTTCTTTGCTTGTGTTTTGTTTGTTGTTAAACCCAAAATGACACAGTTGGCTGTCTGAGCTTTTCTCACGACAGGATTCAAAACCCAATTTTCAGCATTATAAGACCGATGAGTCATCTGGGCCCATTGTAAGGAAAGCGAATTACGACTTACATTTAGTGTGAAGTTCAAAAATATAAAAACACTATAAAACTTTTCTACAAAAAACAAACTTGATGTATTTATATCATAAATATC